ATGCAATAATATAATGGTATAACTTACTTGGAAGTAAATCTTATTAAACTCAAAAGAATTTAGGAGCAATCCAGTGTTGCTAGGAATGGGTGGTTTAGGATTCAGCAGGTCTCTTTCTGATGAGCCCTACTGGTGTGGGATGAGGGGCTCTGCCACTGCGTTAGCCTCTGCTACACTTGCCCAAGGCACAGGCTGTTTTGGAGCTACCATGATTATGGTAGCCAGAGCAAGGCACTGAAATAAGACCAGGAGGGCTTGGGCTGTGGCAGTGGCCAAGTGACTGCCAAGGAAGAGTTAGAATTGCTCTGACCTTTGTGAGACATGCATAGGTTTGCACTGTTAACTGCTGAACAGACAAAGAAAAAATTACAATCCCTAGTCATATAACTAATTTTGTGTCTCAAGCCTTAAAATGTACCACAGACAACTTATGTGTACAAATTATTATTATGTGTTGATTTGTTTTTTTAAAAAAAGGTACATGTCATTTTTATATTATTTTGTTTTTATCAGCGTGTTGCTCTATGACTATGGCTGTCCTGGTTAATACAACTCCATCAAAATACAGTGGTGCCCCGTAAGACGAATGCCTCGCAAGACGAAAAACTCGCTAGACGAAAGGGTTTTCTGTTTTTGCGTTGCTTCGCTAGACGAATTTCCCTATGGGCTTGCTTTGCAAGACGAAAAAGTCTTGCACTTTTTTTTAAAGCCGCTTGAAGAGGCGCAGTTGCGATGGACCATGCTTCGCAAGACGAAAAACATTGCAAGACGAAAAGACTCGCGGAACGAATTCTTTTCGTCTTGCGAGGCACCACTGTAATGGTTGACTGAACTAAAAGTGGGGGAAACTTAGTCATATAACTAACAGATCAGTTACAGCACTCTTAACATTAACAGAATTGTAATGAACTGTGATTCCAAACTGAAGCATGATGATTATGTTTTGGGGCCCCTAGTTAATTTCCAGACTTAAATATCTTCATTACTTATGAGCAAATTGGTTAATCTACTTTAGGGATTTTCTTTAAGCCTAATTTCCATTTTATACACAGAATCTGAAGTAATTGCCTGCAGTTAGTTGACATACATGATCAAACCTTCCTTTGGTCTAAGTTAAATCAGCTGTATGTGAATGTTACTTTGTTCCAATTTATAAAGGTGCAAGCAAGATCTAAGGTAGGAGTTTGGTCTCTGGGGTTGCAGGAACCATAACAGTTTAACGCATGACACACCATATAATGCAACATTATATGGAACCAATATCAGAACAAGAGATTCACGCTGGAAATGTCAAGATGCTTTGTCCTAAATTTGTACAACTCAGAATAAAGAACAGCCCCCCATTCCAGTAACGGCTGCTGCTGGGTAAGTTCTGGTGCATACACACAGTTCACACATCCATAAGATCTTCCTGATTACTTTAAAGGGTGGGTCCACATGTGTACCATTGAAGTGTATGGGAAAGCTGCTGAGCTGATGTGTGTGGCTCAAGCTCTGGACTGGAATGTAAGGAAACAGGAATAATAGGAACTGTACATGTCTGACTATTTGGTCACGGATGTGGGCGTTCAGCACACCTGAAGAATAAGAAGAAGAGTTTGGATTTGATATCCCGCCTTTCACTCCCTTTAAGGAGTCTCAAAGTGGCTAACATTCTCCTTTCCCTTCCTCCCCCACAGCAAACACTCTGTGAGGTGAGTGGGGCTGAGAGACTTCAAAGAAGTGTGACTGGCCCAAGGTCACCCAGCAGCTGCATGTGGAGGAGCGGAGACGCGAACCCGGTTCCCCAGATAACGAGACTACCGCTCTTAACCACTACACCATACTGGCTCACAGTGCCCTGCTTCTGCATACCAGTTGCTGGAAATAACAATCTGGGCGAATGGTGTTGCACTCAATGCCTGCTTGTGAGCTTCCCATAGGCATCTGGTTTGTCACTGTGAAGACAGGATGTCAAAGTGGGGCCTCTGGCCTGATCCAGCAGGGCTCTTTTTCTGTTCTTATGTAAGGACAGTGCTTCCAGGCATGCCTTTTAAATTTCAGCTCTATTCATGAACCAGAAAACTCAGCAAGTGAGTGGACCCTTATTTTCCACCAATACTTGGCATCTATAAACTTTCAGTATACACAAACCACAGATGGGAGACTTCCAAGTACACCAAGACAGAAACAACAAATCAGTTTTCTGGTGGGAAAGCCTGTTTTAGATTCTGTATCTTTCATTGGAGAGCTGAATGAAGAACAATAAGCAACAACAGCAGAGAAGGCTGGCAAGTATGTTAATAGGAAATGCAGAAGCCTTTACCATAGCAGGAGTCTGTGACGGAGCAAGAAGCTGCAAAGTCCAGCTGAAGGAAAGAATCCTCATTGACAGCAATGTCAGTGGTGACAACATAGCGAGTGCTTGCTTTCTCAATGAAGACCAGGGCATCCCCAGTAGAACCACACACTGGCATTTTTGTTCCTCCAGGGTGGAGGAGCCATTTCTTGCTATCCAGGGTACTGAAATCATCTTCTAAGACTGTGTTGCCAGAGATGTTTCCGCCAATAAGGATCTGGAACACAAATGCAAGGGTTTGCTTACTTTTAAAAAGTTGAAACAGATGCTGAAAAAGCAGGGGTTTCTTTACTTTTCTTTCCAAACACGCCTAAGTCATTGCTGATTAGCACGGGGGCTATTGACACTTATATTCAATACTTCCTGATTGTTGTCAGCCCACACTGAATGTATGATGAGGCCACCAACAAAGCTCTACAACGTACAGGTTATGAGCTGGCCCCTTCAGTCAAATGAATGGTTACAAGCTTTTGGTATGGCATGATCAGAAATGGGGTGGTGGTGGAGGAAATAGCGTGGCTCCAGGATTCCACCCCCCCCGCCAGAGGAGGCATGTTGATGTCATCTCTTGAAAAGCCAGTGTAACTGATGGATCTGCCTTGCTTTCGCAAGTGAATAGTTGATAATGAAGCTTTCAAGTTTCACGGTTGTTTGTGGCAAATTAGCATGGAACGAGAAAAGCAATCAAGCAATTGTACTTCTCTGCAATATTGTTTTGCACGTCTAATTAAAAGCTGAAGGTTGCATTGCACCTGACTGAAGATTTATAGTGGAAGCTCAAGGTGTTTTACAAGTTGAACCTGCAATGGTCAGAAGTAAGCACCACTGAGTTCAATGGAGTTTATCTCAGGGAACTATGCACAGGACTGGAGTAATGCCACATGGTTGATCAGGGATGTGAAACCAGCCCAATTCTTATGTGCGAACCATTACGCCACTCTTTGCCACATCAGCTGCCTAAATTTTTTGGTTCTCTGCTCTGTCATGATGATCTTGTGCCCTTCAAAATTTACTACTATACCACTGAGCATGATGCGCATAGTAGAACACTCAGATGACCAGAACCTGCCCTATCATTAGGCAGAGTGAGGCAACCACATCAGCAGCAGAACTGGGAGGAAGCCTCCTAGCTGGTCTTCCTAAGCCCACTAGCTAAACCTTTCTCCCAGAGGACCTTTCTCCTGTTTTGCACACCTATAATTGCCCTGTGATGTTCAGGCGCAGTAAAGAATGCTATCCTGTTGCCAGTACTAAAATAAGATTCTACAGCCATACCAGTCAGTGGCGGCACCATCTTGTTCATTGCCCCAGGTAGCGACATGCCTTGGACCGTGCAGATGATTGAGCAATTATGACTAATAATGTAGAAAACACCACCAGGAGTATCACATCTAATTAGTCATGCACCATTCTTATTTAGTAGTATGTAATCACCTATATTTATATTATATTATATATTATAATATATTATTATATTATTTAGTAGTATGTAATCACCTATATCTACGGGACGCGGGTGGCGCTGTGGGTAAAACCTCAGTGCCTAGAACTTGCCGATCGTATGGTCGGCGGTTCGAATTCCCGCGGCGGGGTGAGCTCCCGTCTTTTGGTCCCAGCTCCTGCCCACCTAGCAGTTCAAAAGCACCCCTAAGTGCAAGTAGATAAATAGGTACCGCTTTATAGCGGGAAGGTAAACGGCGTTTCCGTGTGCTGCGCTGGTGCTGGCTCACCAGAGCAGCTTCGTCACGCTGCCCACGTGACCCGGAAGTGTCTCCGGACAGCGCTGGCCCCCGGCCTCTTAAGTGAGATGGGCGCACAACCCTAGAGTTGGACATGACTGGCCCGTACGGGCAGGGGTACCTTTACCTTTACCTTTAATCACCTATATAGGGGACGTGGGTGGCGCTGTGGGTTAAACCACAGAGCCTAGGACTTGCCGATCAGAAGGTCAGCGGTTCAAATCCCCACGATGGGGTGAGCTCCCGTTGCTTGGTCCCTGCTCCTGCCAACCTAGCAGTTGGAAAGCACGTCAAAGTACAAGTAGATTAATAGGTACCGCTCCAGCGGGAAGGTAAACAGCGTTTCCATGCGCTGCTCTGGTTTGCCAGAAGCGGCTTAGTCATGCTGGCCACATGACCCGGAAGATGTACGCCGGCTCCCTCGGCCAATAAAGCGAGATGAGCGCCGCAACCCCAGAGTCGGTCATGACTGGACCTAATGGTCAGGGGTCCCTTTACCTTTTAATCACCTATATGAGGCTTTGTTCAGACTTCAAGAAGAATACTGATTGTTTAGAGGAGAATATCATAGAATCATAGAATCATAGAGTTGGAAGAGACCACAAGGGCCATCGAGTCCAACCCCCTGCCAAGCAGGAAAGATTATGATATTTCATATCAAAGATTATGAAAATCTTCAAGTATAAATTATATAAGGAAAGATTGGAGATAGCAGCAGGACATGAAGGAATTATTCAAACATTTATAAAAGGGTGCCACATTTTCCATTAATTTTGGGAGAAAGTTGTTATAAAGTACTACATAAGCGGTATAATACTTCAAAACCTCTGATGCAATTTTGTGGTTAATAGGTACATATAATCATAGAGTTGGAAAGGACCACAAGTGTAATCTAGTACAACTCCTTGCGACACTGGAATATTTTGCTCAATGTGGGGCTCGAACTCACGACCCTGAGATTAAGAGTCTCATGCTCTACTGACTGAGCTCTCCAGCATCCTAGGATAATAATTATTAATAAATGGTGGAGGTATACAGGTGTAAACTTAGATGGTTTTCACACGTGGGAGAGGGTATTTCAAGATTAAGAATGACTTACCTAAGGTAACAGAAGTTATTAAGATACACTGATTCTTAAAGTGTCCCTGTAAGAAGTAACCTATTGGCTTGGGCAAGAATAATTGTACCTGCAAGGATTGAACTTGTAAAACACGGAACTCTTAGCTGAGGGAGAGTTTTAAAAGGTCTGGAATTTGTGTAATACTAATAATGGCTTGGTTCCTATGTTAAGTGAATGGAAAGAAGGTTATGAAAAGAAAGTTTCCCATCCCCCTTTCTCCCTTGCAACCACCCTGAACCCCTAAATGCCTCTGCCTGCTCCCCCTGGACAATTTCGGATGAAGTGATTCCACTCTCTGCCAACAGGTCTCTGAATGCTTGAAAATTATTCACAAATTTTATTTGTATTTACTGATATAACATAGTCATAAGTGTACTCTTACCATTGCTCGTATCTTCACCAATGGTTAGGGTATTAAATAAACAGTAGGCACTTCATTGTTGCTGTTAGACTTAAATAATATCTAGTTTGTTGTCCCTTCCCCCTGGCCAAACTTAAAATTAATTATTTATATTTCTTCTAAATTCAGTTTAATACTGTTTACTTTGGCAATAGCTAATTAACTTCTGAGCAATACTCTTTTCCCTTTAAGCAAAGAAAACAAAATTACGTCTTGTGTTCTTGGCATTTGTTTCTCCCGTAAATTTCATATCCACATATCTGAGCCCATTAACCAGAGGCAGACAACTCAAAATTAAAGTCACAATATATAAAATATTGGAAATGATTCCGGGCCCTACGCAACAGGCTCAGAGATTCACCCCTCATTCTCGTAAATCTTTTTTGGAGATTTACATGACAAAGACTATGGACTATGGTTAGGTCACACGATCCCAATTCACATTTGTATATTGTGAATGTGCACTCAGCTAAATTCATTATCGAACACCTGTTGGTGGGGATTTTTATTTATTTATTTTATTTGTATATCATTTAATCACAGTCATCTCTAAACAGTGGTCCACCCTCTCCCACAAAATGCTTATTGAATCGGCAGATAGACTGCACTCTGCCCATTGTCCTCTTTGGTGCTGTACGCAGTCCAAATAAATGGGGAATATAAACACAGCCCCAGGCATAGGACCAGCTCTGACCAGCACAGTTTTCAACTCCTCCTTACCCAGCAGAAGATCTGGGCCTGACAGCTTGTCACTGGAATGGGCCCAATGACTCTGGAGAAACAGTTCTTTTAACAACAACAAACTTTAGATTTGAGTCATGTTCGCTGTGATCAAAAGTTTTAAACGCATCCAGAGAACACTGTTTAAAATATATGTTCCTCTTGGTTAGTGGAAAGCAAAAGTTTGTGTCTTCTTAAGGGAGAACACATGCTCTGCAGGCAGAAGGTCTCAGGTTCATGGTCTGACATCTCTTATTAAAAAGATCTTCAAGAACAGAGTTAGAAAAGAGCCCTGCCTGCATCTTTGGAAAACTGTTGCCGGTCAGAGCAGACAACGCCCTGGCTCTCCTCCTGACTCAAATTCTTCCTTTCTGCCTCCACACCCCATATTTTCCTTGCTTTCACCAGCCAACTATTTAGCAGAGGGGCATGAAAATGTACAACATGACAGGACAAAGGGTAAAGTTTTACTACACATTAGTGTACGAGTAAATTAACTCGATATGGAGCATTCTTCCCTCCCAGCAGCTCCATGTTTCTCCTGAAGTGAAGTTCCTCTAATCATGTAAAGTAGGGAAAGTACAGGAAACAGTATTCAATCAAAGGTACTTACTTTCCTGAATAGAAAGGATTACATACCTGATCAATGACCCACGGGCTGTAAAAGTGTCCATTCTCAGATGGTTGCCACCAACGCAGACGACTGGAGGCAGAACGAGCTTTTAAGGGGATTTCTAGGGCAATGTACCGTCCTACGTTGCTCGAGTTGCTAAAGAGAAACTCCTGCAGTAGATTCCATGTGAGACCTCCATTGAGAGAATACTGTAGCAAAACAGGCTGGCTTCTGGGATCTGGTGCCGCCTTACCGCATCCCAGCCTCATGAAGAATTGCACAAACCTATAACATTGGTACAAATGACAACAACAAAATAATAATAATAACAAGAAGGAAAGTGTCATAAATTTTATAGAACTTTCTTTATGTATGCTACAACAGCAGCAAGAATACTTATCGCAAAGTATTGGAAGACACAAGATTTACCCACCCGGGAAGAATGGCAGATGAAGCTGATGGACTACATGGAACTGGCGGAAATGACTGGCAGAATCCGAGACCAGGGAGAAGAGTTGGTGGAAGAAGATTGGAAGAAATTTAAAGTTTATTTACAGAAACATTGTAAAATTAAGGAATGTTAGAAGGATGCTGGAATGAAGTTATATGGCTTTAGCAGAAATGTTATAAAGAATTAAGTAAAAATAGACTGTTAATGGGCCAAAGGGGAAAAAAATAAGGTTAGATTGTGTTAAGATAAATTATAGGACAAAACCTGAGAAAGATGGAAAGGATTTGCTGAAATAGCTAACTGAACTAGAATACAAAAAAGGGAGGTGTGAGGAGGTCGTCGAAACAAGTAAATGAAAGACAAGATATGGAAATATTGGATGTGTTTTTAATTGATTTTGTTTTTGTTCTTGTTTTTGTTTTGTTAAGATAAGCAGTGTTTTTTGTTTTTTAGGTATTGTATTGTATTGTATTGCTTTGTTTAACTCTTTTTTCTTTTTCTTTTTGTAACTTTTAAACTCCTAATAAACATTACTTTAAAAAAAAAAGGAAAGTGTCATAAATCAAAGACAAGACGAAGAAGCTTGTCTTACTACCATGAAGAAATCGTCAGCTCTAGCCTCATGATAGAGAGCTGGGTTTTGTTTTAAGTACAGAAAACAAATATTCCATAGTGGGAGCCCAGCACTGGTTTGGGACAACTTGAATTGGGATTTCATAGAAGTTGCATGGTACCCTCTTTTTAGGTCACCACTTTTAGTACAGTACTCTGTTGTGATGGCGATGCATTTGGCTTATAAGCTGAAGGGGCATCACAGAGCGGAACAAAGCTATTTATTTATCCTCCAGGCATTAGCATGCAATTGATAGACAGATTTATTTATATAATGCAGATCCCAGTACATTTGATCCTGCATTCAAATTTTCACAGTTTTAAGCTCAGAAGCCTAGATTATGAAGACAAAAATTCAGCCTTAGGCTATAGTCATTTGTTTTATTAATACAAGGGAGAAAATAAAAATCTCAGGCTTCTCAGAATTTGGGACCTGCAAAAACACAACCTTTTAAAACACAAAAAGTGATTATACATTGTGTGTGTGTGTGTGTGTGTGTGTGTGTGTGTGTGTGTAATATTACTAAAAGATTTATGGAATTACTCTGCACTGAAACCAGGAACTTACAGTACTATTTCATTAAATACAGAGGCTGATTCTAATAGAAACAACCCAGAAGGATACTCCACTTTGATATGCACTCTTAGATTAAGTGTATCAGATATTTTCAACACGGCTGCAGTGAATTTGCCACACAATGGCATGCTTTCTCATTACAGCTGGAGTGAATTCCACTTTCAGTCTTAACCGCAGTTTCATCTTTAACTGTAGTTAAGACTAGTCAGGTTCTATCTTATCAAGGCTTTGCTAAATAGCTTCAAATCCTGGCCCCCGGTTGGCTAATCATAGAATTGTAGAGTTGGAAGGAACCCCAAGTTTCATCTAGCCCAACCCCTGCAATGCAGGCATCTCAATTAAAGCATCCATAACCAGTGCTTAAAAACCTCCAAGGAAGGAGAGTCCATGCTGAGGGAGTCCGTTCCACTGTTTAACAGTTCTTCTTGTCAGAAAAATTTCCCTGTGTATCTTTAACTGTATCCTAATGTACCCTTTAATTGTAGTTAAGGGGGAATTTGCTGGAATGGGATGGCAAGAGACCTTTTGGGCTTTTGTGTGTGTGTGTTTACTGCACACCCATCTTTCTTCTCTCAAGATCATGGATTTAGGCTGCCATTGTACCCATGCACACACATACAAAAGCCCTCATTTTTGTGTGTTTTCACTTATAAAAAGCTTCCTGTAAGGAGGAAAAAGAACATCAAACGGGAAGGTTCTCTTCCCACCACCCGCTGCTACGCTAGTTTTCTGTTTACAGGAAGTTGTGCTTTATTTTATTCTTATTGGTGCATAAACATTTAAAAACATGACCCTCCACTTTCAGCCTGAATTTGGAGTCAATTCTACCATCTCAAGATATTCCCTCTGCATTCGGCTGAGTCTATAAACCACCTATTTGCTAATTTCCATATACATTGCCTAGGTAGGTGCAATGAGTTTTCATGCTTATTTCATGTTAGATTTTCCATGTGGTTCACAAGGCTGAATGTTTGCTGTTTATTGTTGTGGTGCACACAGTTACAGCTGCCTTTACCCAAGTACCTCATTACTTTGAGAACAATGGCTAACAATTTCAGTCTTATATCCTATCTCTCTATCTATGCTTTGTGGGTAAATGGGCTTCCAGAGGGATTTGCTGTACAAGGGAAATGCCAAGAAACCCACATACTAATAAGTCAATGAATTCAAGTACTCAGGTATATTGTTAGTTCTTATCACTAACGTTGTTCTTCAGAACACGGAGCATTTCAAGCATCCTGTTCCAAAGAAACCTATTATCAATGCCGTAAAACGACACTGGGGAGCTATATGTAGTAGCCCATCAGCTGCAATGGACTAGATTTATTGCAGGCAAGACCAGGAAATTTGTGCTCATATTTACACAGTACTTCAGAGAAGGCAAGACAAGTCTCTTTTAACAAGCTTCATGCACCGCTTGTTACCTTCCTTCCATTTCCATTGTTGATGACAAAGTAAAAAGGGTTTCAAAATAAATGTTTATTAGTCTAGCAACTTTCTACAA